CCAAAAGCTTATTTTAAATATTTGGAAAAGTCATTAAGTTAGATTCATGAAACTTGGCAGTTGTGTGTCCAATTATAGATCAGATATATTAGCGAAGTTTTAGTGAAATTGCTTGGCAGGTTCGGGTACCTGCCATACAACTCCAAAAGCTAATTTTAAATATTTGGAAAAATAATAAAGTCAGATTCATAAAGGACGCGTGCAGCTTGCGAAATATAATTCTTCTATTAAATGCGAACTACGCTTTATGCAATATGTAATTAAATAATTTACGAAAATTGACACTTTCTTGGTATCCCTCTATGTATAATCAGGTACAATACACAAACACTAAAAAAATATTAGTCAAGACTTACTAGTTTTTATATTTCTATTTCAAATAACTTTACTGACAATACATTAAAAATTATTACTGTAATTTCTTAACAAATAAAAAATTTAAAGAAAATCACATTTACATAATTTTTTTACACTATTTTGCGGGCTTCGCGTTCAATGTAACAAAGAGACATTTATGAACATTAAACAATTTGTCACAACCTTCACCTGTAGAATTTGCGCACTTAGTTATGGCTCCTTTAATTATTTCTGGTGTCGCTTTTGGCACGACTGATGTATAAAACGCTATTATGTTGGTTTCGTTTAGCGCATTGTTTGTCATGAAATTCATTGTTTTTGCAAAACAATCAATATAACATTTGCCATTTTGAGTTATTTTGTCAAAATTTCCATTTGTAAGATCATCTTTTTCAGCTTGTTGAATAGGGAATTTTTGTGCGCATTCAATACCTGCTTTATCAGCTGGGCTTTGAGCCTACATAAAATTAAAAATGTGAAATTTTAATATAATTTTATTTAATACCGAATTATTGTACACTTACCGCAATCATATTATAATACGACAAAAATATTATACCAAATACTGTCGACAATAAATTCATATTTAATATTTTTTTTCTTTTGTTTTCCAGTTAATAAGATAAACGAATTTTGACTGCTGGTCAATTAAGTTATGGGATTATTTTGAATTATTAGGTTCTATAAATTTGCAAGTTCCTTTTATAAACGGAAAACGAAATATGCGGAAAAATAATCATATTATTTAATTATGCGTAATAATTTTAATTAATTATTACATTTAATAAAAATATCAGATAATTTACCCGTAATTTTCCCGTGTAATGATAATTATTTTCATTCTGTTGCAAACAACACATTAAAATCATTACCAAAATCTTTCATCTATACTTAATATAATATATTTTAAATTTGTTATATATGTATTTAAGTATCTTTAATTGGTGTTCTCTTCGCAAATTATGATAATTTGATTGTCTATGTCCACCTAGTTTACAAAATTGAAAATAAATAAGAACTTTTAAAATATGAAGGTAATAATTATTTTCGTTTGCTAATTTATTTAAATTAAAGTGTTGTTCAGCAATTTTTAAAAACTTGTTCGTGTTCGTTCCAAAAAGTTTTGTTGTAAAAACGCGGATGTATACAGAAATAAATGTTTTTTTATATACAAATATATTCACTATGGAAAAATTAATGAAAATCTCTTGTATTCAATTAGATTTTGAGAAATCAAAATATTAATTTTTTTTGGGCATTGCTTTCTGAAAGTTTCATACTTAATTGAAAATCTTCTCTAAGAAACTTATGCATAATGTTCATAGTTTTAAGGTACAAGCACAAACTACTCTGCAAATATTTATATCCTGGTAAATATTACACTAGAAACAAGCGATCAACAATATTGGTACAAAACTTGTGTCACTTTAATGAGATTTTTCTAAAAAATAAACAATCTACGACAATCTTGTGCTTAAGATATGGAAATCTTTCCAATCTTTATACTTAAGATATAGAAATAAATAAAACAATAATTAGTTTGAAAGTAAAGAAATTTTTGTTTATTCAAATAATCCAATTTAAAAATGAGAAAAAAAAATAGCTTGATTTCTAATAAAACGTTTATCAAATACGTGCGGCTATTAAGGTCTTTAATAGGAAAAGTTTGATTGTGATGTATGAAGGTGCCTTGCGGTCGTTCGCTTTCCGGCATAAAATTTACTGAAATGCGGTATAGAAATATTGGAAACTGACATAAATTTGATGTCAGCAAGAACAAGATCAAATAAAACCGTTAACTAATTATAAATTATTCAGATATTAGATTTATTAATTTGTGAAATTTTTCAATAGAAAATGAATGAAAAAAAAATGAGAACAAATAAAATTTTATTGCAAATATCGATTTAACTCAATTTATTAAAAACACAAATAAAAAAATCATATGCTTTTTGACAAACTTCTGTACCTTTAAAATAACTTTTACACATTTCTACAGTTTGTTTTATTATTGCTTTGGAATAGTTTCCTCCATTAATGAGATATTCTTGATTTTTTAGCCAATCATCGTGTAAGACTCCGTTATGTATGAAACCCATATTTTTACCGAAACATTCAAAATAACATTTAATTTTTCCTGAAGCATTCGCAAAATGTTGTTGGGCAGCATTCTGAAAATCAACATTTGAAATATTCAAGTAATTCAAACACTGTGCTACATTTTGGTTCCAATCGAATGTTTCTATACATTTGACCTAAAAGATATGGGAATTAGTATTCTATACCGTAATTATTGTTATAGATTCTTGAAGAAATAATGTTAAAAAAAAATTACAGTTATAAGTTTACCGAGAAAAAACCAAGTGTTGTTAAAATGAAAAATATTAAGTTCCAAATTATCATGTTTTGTCCAATATAGAGCTAGATATTAGAAGGTCTCTTTTGAACTGTTTTATAACTTTAAAATTAATAGTGAACTACCTATTTGAAATATTATTTTTATGAAGTATTTTTAAATTATTTATAATAACATATTTTACTTAAAGCTATTTAAACCGTCAAATTACACATATGTATGAAATGTTAGAATCAAAACAATATTTCAATTATAAACGTATGTAGTGCATGACAAACATGGTTGACTCATTTACAATTTAGAGAAGGAGACTTGTACTTGTGATAGGTTATCTTTTAACATAAATTATGGTAAGAGTAAATAAACTATGGTAACGTATCATAATAACCCAATGGTATGGTAATGTTCGTAAAGTAATGAGACGGAATACGTACTAAATTACATTTCTAAACAGAAATTTATTAAAAATGATTGAAAATTAATTCAATTCTATTGTGATTTTTATTGTATATTAATTGAATTATAAATTGAACTGAAACGAGAAAAAATAGAGTTGACCTTGCCAACTCTGTGATACCCGTACGAATTTGTTTTCCTATGTGCGAATAAAGATGCCATAATTGGCTATGCGACAGACTATGACTTTAAGTTGCTGTATTACCATATTGATTTATGCAAAATTTCGATGCTATGTGTTTTTTTCAAAATACTGTGTGCCAAACTACTATTAAAGTTATATAGCAGCTACCAGAAAGAGCCAAGAAATTTTAAAAAATTTTATCAAGCACATCGGCCCTACTAATATATTTGCTTGTGTGAAATTTCAATACAACAGCTTTTATAGTTTCTGAGATATAGCCAAACAACTTTTGAAGTTGTATGGCAGGTACCGGAAGGAGCCAAGTAATTTCAACGACTTTTATGAGACACATTGGCCCTACTAATATATTCGTTTGTGTGAAATTTTAATACCAAAGCTCTTATAGTTTCTGAGATATAGCCAAAAAAAATTTTGAAGTTGTATGGCAGCTACCCGAACCGGTACCCCGATCACGTCCAATTTAAATAGGATTCTCGCGCTTACCACAATAAATCATTTGTGAAAATTTGGTGAACTTAGCTCAATTAGTTTTTGAGTTATCGTTGGGTTTACTGATTAAAAACCTTAAAAATATAAAGTTGACCTCTTAAATTGAATTCCGATATCAGTCCTTGACTGCATTAGCTGTTCGTAATAAACATTATTGATTATTCTGTTATTTTCAGCATACATGCAAGAAGAAAAATATTTGCCAAGGACTAAAACATGTGTTATTTCTCAGATATTTGTTTTAAATTTTGAGTGTTACATATGTGTCAAAATTGAAAGTTAGTTTCGGTTTTTTTGCCTACTGAAATATGGGAACCAAAGGGTTTTGCTCTAAGTTTATTTTTTCATTATTAGCTAAATTCGACAGTGGTTGAGGGATAGCAAACTTACCTATTAGATATAATGTATACATAACTTAGATCGGTTGCCTTCGAACATGCTCCACATACAGAAAACTTTGTTATGAATTAAATTAGATTAATTACAACCTCTTACATAACTTATGACTTGTAAATGATCATACCTTAAGTTTCTACGGGGTTGACTAATTTAGACTAACAGGCCAACTACTTGATTTTGTGCTGTGTATTAATTTTACTCCTAAACTAATTCATTGCCAGATTTATAAAGCAAGATTGCATGGGATATTGTTGTTTATACTATGCTATTTGATCTACGAGTATCACCGTGTCTTTAACACTGTCCAAGAACGAAATAACACTATATTTCCTTTTGTCACAGAACATTATTTCTATAAATTTCATTGTTTCTGTTAACAACACTAAAGATGCCATATTTAATGTCAGAAGTAATCATGAATTCGTTTCGTCCGAATTCCGGCTTTCAAAATTAACGTTTTTGATTTCATAACTTGAAAAATTTGTGTTTCTATTCTGTCAAGGTCATCAAAGCTGTCTCTATAGATTGTGATACTTGTCCAGTATCTATTTCTACATTTGGTACAAACAAATGAATTTTGAAGATATATCAGAACCTACATCAAATGGCAACTTTTCTTTTTTTCCTCTCCTTTAATGTCCTTAAATTTACTGTGAACCAATTTTTCGTTAATTACCAAAAATTGTCAGATTATCTCATTGTTATAATGTAAGTGATCCCTAGTTGGTGAAACAAAATTTTCAAGTGTTATTTACAACATACTATCTTTAATTTTCGCAAAATAAGGTTTTTTTTATTATATACACAGGTTATAATTATTATAGGAGTAAGGTTTATAAAGTTATTGGAATACAATCGAGTTGGATTATTTTAGCCTTAAATTTTCAAATTATCGTAAAGACAAAATGTGAAATTGTACGCTTTATCACAATCAGATGTATCAGCTGGTGCCAACCACTTATCCTTGCATGTCGCGATAATTTTCTTTACATCCTCAGGTTTTAATCCTTCTTTTAAAGCTGCATATTGTTTTGCAATTTCATCTGCATCTATCTCAGAGTTCGAAATGAATTTCACCTTCTTTCCAAAACAATCAAAGAAACATTTAATTTTTTGTGTAGGATTTTTAAATTTTGCGCTTCTTGCTGTTTCATATTCTTCATTTGTAATTTCTAATTTAGTTAAACATTCGGACTTCGCTTGTTCTGCGTCAACTGCAATTGTCTAAAAAAGATTTTTTAATAATAAACATTTTTGCATAAATAGCACTTTATTGTCTTTATAATTATAATTTTTAAATAATTTTTTAACTGATTGTTACTAAAGTTTTAAAAATGTAACCTACAACAATTTTGTCTAATATATTCTGAAACTATTAACGATTCTAAAATCCTCACAATATTTTTAGAACTAAAAAGGGAAAGGATAATAGAGTTAAAAAGTTTCGGAACTTCAACTTGAAAATTTAAAAAAGACACTAAAATTTTAAAATGTAAATTAACAACATTGTATAAGTGGGTATCGCCTTGTTCACCTATGTTCTTGCCAACAATTAAGACTATTGATCCAATCAATTGTTTTTAAATAAAAACTGAAGCTAACTACCTAAGAAGAGCTCTGTATTTTAAACTTCGTAAAAAATAAAATGTTGTCGCTCTTAAACTTTCCAATCAAATTTTATGATTTTTCATATGTTAATCAATTATACATAGACAATATATTTCTTGAAATTTGTTTATTTAGTTCCTCGACGCTTAGTTTCCAAAATACGAATTTAACAATTTAATCAAACTTACAACAATAACGCAGCAAGTAAATAAAACTACAATTTCAAATAAAAATTTCATTTTAATGCTGCACTTTTATCACAATTCAATTTAAATATTATTTTAGTTTGCTCTAAATGTCAAAATGCTAAAACTAGAAATCACGCCTGGAACCGACTTTTATATATAATTTCCCAATCATAAAAATATTTTGTTTTCTAACGTGTCATTGAATTTAAATAACGTATGTATAACTCTAGTCTGTCAAATAAAATTATCAATCCATTAAAACATTGTTTTTGATAAACAATAAAATTAAAATGTCAGTAAATTAATCACTTAATTTTGTCTCAATTTTTAAAGTTTATATTATTCCAGGTTCAAGGTAATCAGAGTAATTATCATCTAAAACGTATTGAATCATTTTAATTTCGTTAGCTACTCGTAAAATAAGGCAGTTTTCAGAAACTTCCCTAAATTTTATAATAACATATTATATTTTAAATATTGGTTTAAATGTGTTGTTTTGAATAATTATGCAAACTAGAATATGTATCTAATATAAGTTTAAGTTCAATATCATACATTCTACAACGTAGAAATTACGTGAAAATTCGTTTAAATCCCTGATCTCTGTAAACGTTGAGATTTGGAAACTATTCCGTAACAAAAATTTTACCCATTTCTGATACCCTACACAATGATATATAATATTGCATTCTTTGTACTGAATACCCCTGTATATAAACGTAAAAATTACTCCATTACGTCAGAGAATTAATATTCCTTGCCTGGCACTAGCAAGGAATATTAATTCTCTATGTTTGCATCATTTTCCCGTAAATTATTAGATTAGTGAAAAAACCTTAATTTTTAATAATAACATGGTCTACAGCCTCATTTAGCAACACATGTTTGCTATTCTTTAAAATTATTCTAAGATTTTTACTTAATAAATGGAGCTTTAATTTAACCATAAATTATGTAGATTGACAATCTAAGTGTCAATAAACTCAAGATATATTATAAGATTAGATCAACAATCTATATATCTGTTTTTTGTACAAAAAGGAAATAAATTGCAAATAAATTAAAAAGTAGAGGAATTAAAAGAAAATTAATAAAATTTTATCAATATACGATTGGAAGTTTATAAGGTTGAAGAAAAGAAAAACTACATAAAACGTGTAATGCGAGGAACAATAAGAATTAATAAAAAAGATCATATAATTTATTACACTAATATTTGAAAATAATATTAAAATAAAGTTGGGTCAAACCAATAGTTTGCATTGTAGAACTTTTCCCTTCAACAAGTGAAAATACTGCTATTAAATACAGTCTATGTATACCTAGAACCTAGCACATTATTAAAATTGTTTTCATTCATATACGAACTATTTCTAGGATTGCATACATTTAGGATAAACGATTTATGCAGTCTTTGAAATAAAGCGAAAAATAATTTAAAGAGGGATTAAAATAATGCTCGATTTTAAGGGTTAGTTGCGTGAGTTTATTGGCGTGAGTTAGGAAAAATAATTATACTTTTCAATGTCATAGAATTTACCGTTAGCTCCTTACGTTTGCGCGGTTTCGGAAACATAAGGCGCAAAAAATTCAAATTTTACTAATTTCAAGAGGCGATATCTTGAGAGGGAGTGGAGATGGAAACAAATCTTCTAACGAAATAAACTATTTGTTAGTGTCTAAAAGCTCCTAAAATCTCAGGCTCTCAAAACGTGTAGTCTAGAAGAAAAGCGACATCAAAAACTTGAAAAAAAAAACGGACTTTAGATAGCGGTAAATTTGAACGACCATTTCTTGAAGTTTAACTATAATATGCCGTGATAGGAGAAGCAAGCCACTGCCTTTCTGCGTTTGCAAAATTTGAAAAATGGTTATGGCTTCACTGCAATAAATCGTTAAAAAAATTGCATTTTTATGGTTTTCAACTTCTAAAGGGGGGGAGACAACTAAAAATTTTCTTCTACGAAAATAAGTTTCTAGGAAAGATCTATGTAGATATAAAATTTCAGCTTTCTATCATCAAGGGTGTAGAAGTTTTGTAAACAGACACACGGACAGACGGACGGACGAACAGAGTGAAACTACTAAGCACTTTTTTTCAAAAATTTTTTGGAAAAGCGCTAAAAAAATTGAACTTCATTACTTAGTCTAAAAAAAGAGTGCAATGAATTCGAATTCAATTTTTTGTTTTGCATCGACCTGAAAGTTGTTCAAGAATTAATTTGAGATAACATTCATAATACCAAAAAAAATAATAGGTCTTAATAAATATATGGCAACAGATGTAAAAGTGTGGGCAATATAATCAAAACATATATTATTAATACCTTTCTGTTTAAAGCTACCTCTCATTTGAAGAGAAAAAAATTTATTGGCGTAATTACTGTTTCATTTTTGATTTGAAAAAGGTATTTCAGAATATTGTTTATCAGAATTTCAGACGGACAAATTCAACCATTGCTTAAGAGTTGTTTGTCCGCATGAAGAACAAAAAACCACTTCCGAAACAATAACTGCTTAATACAGGTGTAGTCCGTAATTTAAGAAAAATGAAAAATTTAATTTCACAATATATTTGTGAGATCCTTAATGTCGTATATTTTAAACTGACATTATAATGTAGTTCTAACAATTATTATATTTACAAATCTTAATTTAAATTTCCGCAAACCTACCGGAGTTGTTACTTAAAAGCAACTTAAAATTTAATTTCACTTTTAAATATAAAATTTACTATCTTACAGCTAGCAGTCAATTCGAATATTTATAAATTTAAACTACTTACTTAATGTACGAGTATAACAATTATGGAAAACTGTACAGTGACTTTTGCATTACCTATTTAATAAAACTTATGACATTGTTTTGTATAATATTTGATATTTGTAAAGAAATTCTGAAATTCTTAATAGTTAAATACTGCAGTATAAAGTTCTTTACCCCATACAATGGAAAATACAACTTCTCTGGTGATAAAAATTCTAGAATTTTTAAGACTTACAGAAATCTAAGGTTTCAAACCAAAACCATTTTAAAATTATGTAAACCAACTTAGTTCAACTGAAACTGAAGTACATTATGTCATTTTAATGAAAGCGTTCCTAGGTTAGAGCATATTCTAATATAAGACGCTTCATGATTTGCATGATGTTTTTAAGCAAAATAAAATTTTTTTTATATACGTATAATCAATTATAAAAATAATTATTGAAATACGAATTAAAAAATGTTAATTTGCAATTAGCAAAAAAAATATCCTTAGATATTTTTGAACCTCAATCTTGTAACTTTATCCTTCTTGCTTTATTTTTGTTATTATGTTTTTTTATCTCCGAAACATGTAAAGATTTTCAAACCTTAATAAAAAAGAATAAAATTTTCCTATGAAGGATAATTCACATTGAATTTTTTAATTTGGCAAAAGTATAAAAGGCGCAAAAATAAAACATAATTTTTCTAAATTAAAGAATTAAAAAATTAGTTAAGGCGAAATCAATTAATTACCGGCTCGCCCTCAAATCATTTTAAGCATCATGATTATCATTATCATCAAAATTATATTTCTTTTTCTTTCAAATAAATTATAATAAATTCTGCTAAAGGATGATGGTAAAAATGAGGAGTTTCACTATATTTCTCTACAAGTATCTTTTGTTGTTTTCAAAGTTTTGCTTATTTTCTTTTTTCGTTGTTGTTGGAGCCCTTCAGTAAACAAATTTTCATATTGTCCATTTAGAGTATCTTCCTAACATCTCCATAAATTTTCTTGAGAAAATTTTTTATTACAGTTTTTTATCATTTTATTTTATTTTTATTGATGTTCCTGAAATTGTTAACTTTTTATGATTTTTTTTTGCGTTTTTTTTTTCCCATTTTCTTAAGACTATACTGTTGACTGAATGATTTTTTCTAATAAACATGGCGGGAACAAAAAATTAGAAGAGATTAATTAAGGTTTTCAACATTCAAGTGATTTCCTTCAAAGTATTCTAATTTCATTTTGGGTAACGAAAATTTTTTAATGATGCACAACATCTTGAGTTGAAAAAGTGAAGAAATAACAAAACGGCTGAAGAGAAAAGTACCATAAAAAATGTATTAATATTCATTTGCTTTATTTTATTAAGTACATGGTTATTTTTGGAAATCATCTCACTTGTTTTCATATTTTTTAGATGTTGAAAAAGAGCAATGTTAATAGGTGGATTTGGCGACCCACTACATTTTCTTAGAGTTAAAGTTAAAATTAATCTTTTTGAAACAAAAGAATCAAAGTTCATCATGTCACTTACAATTTCTTTGTTATTGTCCATTTGTTATTGCTTTATTATTGTCCATCTAACATGCAAAAATTTTTATTTAATTTTTTCAAATTTAGTATCTAAGAATTTCAGTTCCTTTTCAAAAGTAGTCATAGTTCATTTTGATTTTTTTCTGCGAAATAAACGTTGTATGCTGATTTTGTTTTTAACGGGTCATAAATATTGACTTTTGAAATTTAACTGAAATTTAAACAAGCAATACGTGACAGAAAAACCTATCCATTTTGTACTCTTCATTAAGGTCAAGTCAATCACGAATATCTACTGAGTTTGAACCCACTGGTTTGTATTGTGAAACTTTTCTGCTATCACTTTAGTTTTATTCGAAAGTCTACCGAACTTTTCAAACATACTTGAAGTAAAAATGGAGAAACTGAGTCAAATATAAAAAATATTGAGCAAAATGGTTAATTACCATAATATCCAAAAAATTAATCAGCAAAAATTTAAATGTTTTAATAAAAAATTTTAGTAAAAAATTAAAAAAATAAAGTTTTGGAATAGAAATGAAAAAAATTGATCATTTCCCACCAAGATTAGGCAAAAAGTTTAAAACTTACCATATTGACGACTTATGATAAAAGAGATTAAGATAAAGTTTTGGGATAATGAAAAAGTTTCATACAGTAGATTTCATATTAGTATCAGCCAATATCCAAATTTTTTCATATAATGTGAAAAAAATTTAAGTCCTAAATAGAATTGGTCATACTAAAACGTAGTACGATTAAAAATTAAAGATTCGGAGTTAAGGATTTAACAAATTTTTCAAAGCGAAAAACGACACTTATAGAC